ACGCTCCACCAATTTTGATGTATTATCCTGTTTTCGCCGACATAATTCAAGTGCTGTAAATTTGCTTTCTAAGTAGTCCAGAAACTCCTGTAGCACAGGTAGATCCCTGGACCTCTTTTGCGATTCTATATATCCTGTATATGTTTCCATGTCTAATTTTTGAGACAGTATGTGTGCTAACAGCGGATCCCATGTGCTAATATCTACACCTAAGTTTTTGATAGCGTTTAGGCATTCTAAAAATGTATCATGTATTTTTTAATTTGATTTACCGCTTGCTGCTGAATATTAGGGAAACCAAGCAATAGGCTAATGTGAGATACGAAAATTCGTCGCTTGTTGTCAAACCTATGATTTAGAATTTCCCAACAGGTTACATAATTTTCTGAACTAACATTCAAATGCTGTATTAAACGCTCTGAATCCCCTTGGACTTTACTCTTTAAAAATTGAATTTTTTGAGCGTTCGAAAGCGACGGGTTGTTGTGAACGCTTTCCATGAAAAGATCTTTGAATGGTATGCATTGTTTATAATTGCCGTTAAACGTAGGGATATCCATTCTAGGCGTACAGCTTTCTCGGTGATTGACAGACCACATTTTGGAATTGAGTTTTCTCTTCAAATCCATAAACTCCTATTCATACGTACTAAAAGTAGTAGTATATTCTTCGTCATCCCCATTGAGATCATGATCAATTTCAAAATGCAGAGAATCTATAGCCGACCATCGCGACTCTAATGTTTTCAAAGAATCTTCAAATTCCCATTTTTCCGCAATGTTATTTATGTTTATTTAACTAATAGACCTTTTAAATGCCTTAAAATTAATATATTGTTTGCGCAACATGTCATCTAACTTACTGGTTGTTTCTCGATGTACCTTTGGGCGGAGAGCTTCTTGTGGCTCCGCCGATTTTCCCGAAGACGGTTCACCTAATCCACGCTGTTCCATTTGTTGAGTTGTTTTACCTTCAGAGGCTGGATAATACTTCTGGCTAGCCAGAAAATCCTGATACTGCAAATTTATGAATTCTTTAACCGAGTTATATTGCTCCCTTGCAATTTCGTACTCGGAGTTTGTAAAGTAGGGATGTGTTCGACTCTCACTCTTTACTAGTTGACTACGATTTTTCTGATAATCTTGACGATTCCAAAACCTCAAGTTTTCTTTTAAAATAATCTAATGTTTTACGCTCTGACCCATCTTTTTTAATATTGGCACCAATTTTACGAATAGCTCCTACAATCTCGACCTGATTACCGTGTACGTTTTCCATGTTGCTATTTAATGCAGAAGTGTAAAAAAAAGGAAAGATCTTACTTTAGCACTGCTGATTACTGCTGATGCTGCTGTTGACCAACTTGCCGACGCTTGTTGCTTCTTAACCTAGACAAGCTGCTGCTTAGCCAAGCCAAATGTTGTGGATGTTGAGTAAGACGACCACTGTTATGTTTGAGTTTGAAATGTTCGCTCATTCTTACTGTCACTGCACTGTCTTTGAAACACACGAGGGTCCAATGCACGTGTCGAAGGACCCAAAAATGTTTATTTTTCGCTCGAAGGACCAAAAATGTTCGGGTATTGGAAGTATGTTTAATAATAATTAAAATTGTATATAAAAACAGTTTAATAAAGAAGTTAAAAATATAATATTAAAATATGTAAAAAAATGTTAAATGTTAATGTTATGAGCTCGCGTCCGTTGCGTTTACGATGATTACGTGAACTAACACAATTTTCATAATTGTCGAACTATATCGATTGCTTCATGTAAAATGTTAACTCCAGCAGAAATGTACGGTTGGACCGTACATAACGAACTGCATAAATATGTGTTTGACACGCGGTGTTTTTTCCGACAGACTTAAAATTGCTATGGTCTGTCCTATTTTTAAATCCGGAAGTAGGACTGACTCAAGTAAGACCAATCTCTGTCTTGCCTGTTACATCAAAGATATGTAAACGAGTACTTTATAACCGCCTAAATGAATACCTAATAAAAAAGAAGTTTTTAATTGACCAACAATATGGCTTTTGGTTACGCGGAAATGATTTGTGTATTTTTAATTTTGTTCGAGGGTATATTGCTGCCAAGTGTTTCTCTTTCCTATAACCTCATATCCCTTCCGTACACACTGAAGGGGGAGGGGGGGGTCTAAAAGGTGACGCGATTCTTTCGACCTATAAACGCGCGCCCCATCGAGACGAATTGGTGGGAAAGCCGAGCCAATAAAGGTTCGCGCGCTGCCCTCGAGCGTCCTCTTGCCGCACACCGCTAGTTTCGACCGCACTACCTGGGGCAGTCGCACCCCAGAAGTAACCGCCTCACATAGTGTGAGATACCGTCGCGCACCGCTCTTGCTGCGCACCGCTAGTTTCGACCGCACCACCTGGTGCAGTCGCGTCCTAGAAATAACCGCCTCACATAGTGTGAGTTATCGTCGTGCACCGCTCTTGCCGCGCACCGCTAGTTTCGACCGCACCACCTGGGGCAGTCACGCCCCAGAAGTAACCGCCTCACACAGTGTGAGATTTCGTCGCGCATCGCTCTTGCTTCGCACCGCTAGCCTGGATCGCATCTCTGGGGTGCCCCAGAAGAAACCACCTCACGTCGCGCCAGTTCCTCTTTCAACACATCACCGCAACAGAAACGTCGTCCGCGGCATCAGAATTACACCCCGGTAAGAGTGTTTCCCGTAATTTTGCTACTTGAGCCTTTTGTTTGTTAGCTAACCTGCCCCATTTTTTTCCTCCTTATCGGCTCAAGTAGAACTCCCTCCTAACCTTGGCGTAGCAATAGATTTGGAAGAGCGAGTGCATTGTCCAAGGTTGTCGCGTGCCACGTCCGCCATCTTGTTGAGGCATAAGAAGCCAACCGTGTATACAGTCCACCTAGTATAACATCTCGCACAATAAGGTCAAGGCTCGACCTGGGAATCGAACTCGGGAACCCCTAGGCCCGCCGCTCAACTATTTTCTGGTCCATTCGAGTGGATTTGGAACTGATGCCCTGTGGCCTCATCGAGTCGAACTTCTAAACAAATTCCTTGGACAATACACTCTAGTTTAGATCGGGACGTTGCAATGGTTTTTGAGAAATATTTTACTGATATTCAGATCTTAACCACTAAGTCACTGAATTCTTCTCCTACCGTCGCCGAATCATTACTTAAACAAAATGTAAATGTGTGTACAAAGAATTTTACATTTCATAAAGTTTCATCAAAAGATATTGTAAAATATTTTAAGACTATTGATATTAAGAGAACCGCCGATCTGTGGGGGATTTATGTTAAAGTTATTGCGTCTATAATAGATACAATCGCACCTCAACTATCTATTATTTTTAATATTAGTGTGTTTCCTGATTTAATGAAGCATAGTAAAGTAATACCTTTATTTAAATCTGGTAGTACATTAGACACGCCAATTTTAGACCTATTTCTGTACTGCCAAAAAATTATTATATATTGAAAAAATTATTCTTGATCAATTGTTAATTTTTTTAATGTAAATAAATTACTTCATAAAAATCAATTTGGTTTCACAAGGGGTCGCTCGACAACTGATGCTGGTCACAGGATGCTTTGGGTGTGTTCTGTGACCTATCCAAAGCCTTCGATTGTGTTCACCATGAAACATTAATCAGGAAACTTCAACACTACGGTGTAAGAAATGATACTCTTAATTTAATTATTTCATATTTTAGTGACAGAACACAAAAAGTTGTTATTAATAGTATGAGTTCTTCCGGGTCGATTGTACAAATAGGCGTGCCTCAGGGCTCAATTCTCGGCCCCTTTCTGTTTCTTGTATATATTAATGACTTACCTTACATAGTAGGGGATAACCATGATATATAATTATTTGCTGATGATACTTCATTAATTTTCAAATTAAAACGACAGTTATTAAATTAAATTTTAATTAAAATAATGCTATAGCTAAGTTAGTCAATTGGTTTAATGTTAATAATTTGCATTTGAATGGAACTAAAACTAAATGTATGAAATTCGTAACTCCTAATGTTAAACATGTCAATATAAATGTAATTTTAAATGGGGAAGAACTGAGTCTTGTTGATACCACCATTTTTCTTGGAATCACACTGGACGCAAAGCTTCAATGGCTTCCCCATATATCAAAACTAGCTAGCAGACTTAGTTCTGCAGCATATGCTGTAAAAAAGGTTAAAACTCTTACCAGTGTTGAAACAGCTAGAATAGTTTACATTAGTTATTTCCATAGCATTATGTCGTATGGTATTTTGCTATGGGGACACGCGACTGACACTGAAATTATATTTATTTTACAGAAGATGGCCATTAGAGCAATATATAATTTAAAACCAAAAGAGTCACTGAGACAAAAATTTAAGGAAATTAATATATTAACTCTGGCCTCTCAATACATTTATGAAAATGTAATGTACGTACACAAAAATAAAAGTAGTTTTACGAAAATAAGTGATATTCATTCTGTAAATACTAGGAGCAGACACAAGCTGGTACCAGTTACTCGACTCCACCGAGTCAGTAATTCATTCTTGGGGCGATGTCTACTATTTTACAACAAAATCCCAGAAAATATACAAAATTTGTCATACACAAAGTTCAAAAATGTTATTAAACTAAGTTTGTATAAAAAGGGTTATTATAATATTAAGGAATTTATAGATGATAATAACCCCTGGGAAGGGTGATCGCTACCAAGCTATTTCTAATTTGTCTTGTGTTGTTGATTGTAAAGATGATTGTAAGCTATTATTAAAAAAAAACAGTCCCGCTGGGTTTCTTGCTAGTTCTTCCCAGGACAGAGGTTTTTTTTGCGAACCAGTGGTAAATTAAAAAAGTGACTTTCAATAAGTATTTTTATAATCTACCTTGAATAAAAAAGTTTCTATTTCTATTTCATTAATAATTGTATTTTTAGTAAACATAAATAATATTATGTGATGCAAAAATCACATCGGGCAGAACTTTTTGGTAAATCGCAGAATTGGACGATGAAGCCATCGGAAATTTATTAGAAGATTCCGATATGGTGGACTTCATACCTTCCGATTATGATTTCGACGATCCGGAATTCGTACCACCAGAAAGCAGTATGAGTTCTACGGAGGAAGAAATTGATGGACTTGATGTAAGTACATCATTTATACAAGCTCGCGGAAGGACTAAGCGAGGTACGCAGCGAGTTTCTTGTGGACTGTCAAGAGGAAGGTCGCGTGTACGCCACGTAACAGCACTGGCAGCAGTATAGACTATATAGCATAGTATATACCGTCAACTATGGACTGGTCTCAGGACTTGGAGAAGATTTGTTAGAAGAAATCCTTCGAAACACAAACAATCAAGAGAGCTCTGATGATAGTGACCTACAAACTAACCAGAACATTCCACGAAGAAGGGGTAGACCAACTATTACTCTTCCAAATAAGAGCCGCCGCACTTCTCAGGCAAAACATATGCCTATATTGGAAGAGAAACAGTCCAGGTGCAGGTCCTGTCATTACAAAAAAAACACAATTAAAGTGTAGTTCATGTCATATAAACTTGTGCTTAACTAAGCAAAGAAATTGCTTTGCTGCTTTCCATGCCGAACTATTTTTTTAAAAGGATTTAATTATTTAAAGTTTATTAAAATTAAGAGAAGGTTTTGGTTTTGGTTTATTTTTATTTTTTGTTTGAATTGTTTAATTATTTTTAAGTCCAGAGAGGCTGCAATAAAAGTTAGTACTTTAATTACTAATTAAAGAGATAAAAATTCAAGACTGATTAAGAATACATAATAAATAACATAAAAAGTTACTCTTGTTTTATTTACCCCGTTGTACCAAGTGTCTTTTACGAAGGACAAATAAAATACAGCTGATTTTGGTAATTCTGCCCAGTGTACTGTAAAAAGAACAAAATGAATGATTTTAAAAATAGGGTAAATCATTTCATTATGATCTATTTACTGCCATAAAAAATATAAAAATTTTATATCTTATGCAAGACCTTTTTTTTGTTCTAATTATTCTGGGCAGGAAGCACTTGTAAGATTTTGTACTTTGAACAGAACAGTGGGCAGAATTACCAAACAGGTTCTAATTTGCTTGGGCAGGACGAGGTTAAATATTTAACATGGAAAGTTAAAACAATGTTTTCCACTTGAAATTATACATATCTTAAGCAATACAACAGTTTAATTTACATTTTCTCTATACATTTCACTATTAAAGCACTTTTAAATTTCTTATACAAAACTATCATTATTTCACTTATTCACAGGAATTTTCACATAAAAATAACACAGAATTCACCTCTTTTACACGTACAATCAATCTGAAATGTTTTACAAGTCATTTTTACATAAATTGCTGAAATTGCAAATATTTAAATTTCTACATATTTGGCCTCCTAAGTACGTGGCTAGCGTGCGTCTATGAACTCACACTATTTGAACAACTAACTTTTGCACGGCTATCGACTATCAGTAAAAATGGAAAGTCTAATATCAACAATACAAGATGAATAAATGATTCTACTCAATTCTCAAACGCCGAAAACTATTTCTAATCAGATTCTTATCAGTTATCATGTTTCTTATCAAACAATATAAGTGAATGTTTTCATAAATCAATTATAGAAAATAGGCATTTGTTTTCATACAAAACATTTCAAACTCATATAAGACAATACCTATGCAATTAATTTCCATTAATTCTACTTATGCACAGCGATCATCTCGACCGGGGAACAAATCCTGGTCTCTAACTTTATTTTAATATTTCTTTAAATTAACATTATTGGAAAGATGATTTCAACCGGGGAACAAATCCGGTAACATAATTTATATCTTAAAAATGCCCTATATGAATTTATTAAGAGATATTACTAAGAAAACGATAAACTATTCCGGCCTGGGAGTCGAACCCAAGACCTTCATATCATTAATTCGATATTTCTTTAAGATGCAACTAAGCATTTTCTTATCGGAATATTGTTGCTTGATAATTTGCTTTTTAGAAGCTATTAGTAATCGGTTAACTAATAAATTGAAATATTCTTATAGGCGCGTCGCCAACAACCTTGTATTCCGGTGCAAAAGTACACAGTGGCACATACGCAGCCCCGCTCAGTACCGTGAGTAACGAAAACAGTTGCCTTTTCCATTGCATTCGCACTCGTACGAAGACTTTGCATACGATGCGACCCAATGAATCTACAGAGAACACCGCCTAGTGGAATATTGATAAGCAGGAGCGGAAGCGTCAGTGGGTCGGTGCCTAATTTACCCACCCGTGGTGACAAGGATTATCATTCCAATGTGTATCTGAGAAAAAGAAAATAGATTATAAAAAAGATCTTCCAAGCTTTCGTACATACATGATGAAGTTCTTAGAAGAATTCGGAAAAAACACAAAATGAGAATCTGAAATACATACGTGAAGAAATATCGGAGATTAAAAATGAAATAAAAACAATAAAATCAACAACAAAAAACTTTACATAACGATTTGAACAAATAAACTCTGAAATAGAAAATATTAAATATAATTATACTGCTACTCAAAACCAAATAAAAAACATAGAAAGTGATATATCCCTGATAAAAGATAAACAACACATTGAAAGTTCAACGGATAAATCGCCCGTCTTGTGCCACGAAAACCTCATCCTTGAACTCAAAGACCGATATGACCGTGAGAAAAACGTATTTACGTATAATGTGGGTATACCCGAAATAAATGAAAAAAATACAAAAGTGAGACGAAATTACGATAATGAAGAAGTGATGAAGTTGTTGATATCATTACATGAAAACTGCCCTAAACCAATTAAATGTATAAGACTAGGGAAATATGTTTCAAACAAATCCGGCCTATAAAAGTTTTCTTTAACAATATAGATACTCCGAAATATCTCTTACGGAATAAGAAGTACCTAGCCGAAAATCTTACTATTTACTCAGATCAGAGAAAAAAAAGATCAAACGCCAGTTCAAAAACAGTATTTAAAGCAATTGAAGGAAGAATTAAAGAAACGAAGAGAAAAAGGCAAAAAGGACCTCATTATTAAATATATAAAAGGCACACCTTCAATTGCTATTGGAGTCCTTGGTGCACACTGTTTTGTACAGGCATCTACAGAAATATATTACTGTGGATCAACATGGGTTTATGGCTAAAAGATCAACTAACACAAACTTAGTCCTATTCACATCGGAACTTAAAGAGGCGGTCGATCATAACACTCAAGTAGATGTTATTTATACCGACTTCTCAAAGGCCTTTGACAAAGTCAACCATGCCATACTTATTAAAAAATTAGAAGCCTTTGGAATCTCCGGCAAACTGCTGCAGTGGTGTGGATCTTACATTAATAGCCGCATTTCAAGAGTGACAGTTTTAGGCAACCTTTCTAATGTATTTACTGCAACATCTGGCATTCCTCAAGGATCTACGCTCGGTCCCTTGTTCTTCAACGTTTTTATCAACGATATAACACATAAAATAAGACATAGTAAAATCTCTCTTTTCGCTGATGACCTCAAACTTCTGAAATTAATTACTAATAGCAATGACATAAGATGCCTTCAAGATGATATAGATAGTGTTTATGATTGGTGCAAGGAAAACAAAATGTATCTTAATATCTCCAAATATCAGCACACACAGTTTACTAGAAAACGTCATAAATTGGAAACTAGTTATTCCATATCTAATTATATTCTTAAAACTGTTAGTCCTGTTCGCGATCTTGGCGTTTTAATGGATAGTAAGCTGAGCTTTTCAGAACACATAGATAAAATTATTACCAAAGCAAACAAAGCGTTAGGCTTTATCTTAAGATGTACCAAAAATTTTAATAAACTAGACGCTGTAATTCATCTCTACAATACATATGTAAGGAGTAAGTTGGAATATTGCAGCACTGTGTGGTGTCCCAATTATAAAATACATGTTGATGGAATTGAGAGAACTCAGAAACGATTTGTTCGTACTCTTGCATATCGATACAGAGTACCTATAACTACCATAAAACGCATGATGTGGTTACTTATAAATGTGAGAACAGTTACCTATTGTACTATGTAACAAATAATTTGTATTTATCTGAGTTGGCTGTATCTTACGTTAGTAATCCAATAAATAAAAAAAATTGTTATAAACAAAACCCATCAAAAAAACCAGTAATGGCTTCACCACAAATCGAAAAATAAATAGATAGATTAACCCCCCAATTAGTAAACAATTACGAAAACATTCCATTGCACTCGTCCTCGTTAAGATTTTTTTATGCTAATTTACGTAATATTCGCAAAGCTGGGAAACTCGACGAAATAAAATGCGTATTAAAAGCAATATCTATGACTATGCATTTATTAATTTTACTGAGACATGGATTTCTTCGGAAACCGACGCAAAATTATATCAGATACCAAACTATAAACATATTTACAATTATAGACAATATTACAAAGGTGGTGGCGTTTCAATTTACGTACATAATAGCATAAAATACGATATAACAGAAGAATTGTGTGAGAATGGAAACCACTACTTATGGATATACATAAATAAACTATCTTTAAACATCGGCGCAATATACAAACCTAGAAGTTCTAATGTAAACAACTTTTTAGAAACATATTCCTCACAGTTGGAACGGAGGAGAAGGGCGATTGTGTTTGGAGATTTTAACATTGATCTACTTAATACAGATAGCAACGTCACAAAATACCTAACTGATATAAAAGAAATTGGATGAAATATTGAATAAAATTAATAGGTTGTACAGTACTTATGAAACCACCACCACAAGCACTATACTGGACCATGTATGTACGAATATAAACATTCACTAATTTAGTTTCTCAATAATTGAATCGTGCCTATCTGATCACAAGCAAATATTTCTTGAAATAAGCAACTTAACAACAAAGACACATAAAAGAGTTCAATATAAAGCGCTTGATTATGAAAAGTTATACAACACTATTAAAAGCCAAATACACTAATGAAGAAAATGACTATTACTACCTAGAGAGATTTATGTTAGAACAAATAAACAACAATAAAATAAGCAAGACAAAAATTCTTAACCCTCCACAAAAAGATTGGATAAACCGAGATATTATAAACTCAATAAATTTACGAAACAACTTATGGCAGCAGACTAAATCTCACCCAAAAGATGATAATCTACAAAAAAACTTAATTGAAGTTCTGCTCTTCAATTAAGTTTTTTTGTGTGAAAAAAGTGACAAAAGTGACAAAGTGAAAAATCTTATCAAGACACACAAGAAAATCTAATATCATAACTTATTTCATAACAGTTACAATAAAGCTAAGCAAATGTGGGAGATAATTAATAACTTAGCGTTAAACAAAATTAAAGACAGCAGTGCTCCTCCCAAACTAATATCGAACACTGGACTAATAACAAAAGGTAATTCAATATGTGACTTATTACTCATTTTTCTCCTCAATAGGCTCGAACTTGGCTAACAAAATTCCTAATAAGTATCACATAAACAGCGGTAACATGCTTATGTTCGAACTTAACTATACACAACATGAAATAACACTTAATGAACTTACACCCTGTAATATTACTGAAGTATCAAAAATAATCGATGATCTTGATACCAAAACTAGTACTGGTCTAGATGGCATCAGCACCAAAACGATTAAATGCCTAAAAATTACAATTGTAAAGAGGCTAACGTGTTCGGGTATTGGACGTATGTTTAATAATAATTAAAATTTTATATAAAAACAGTTTAATAAAGAAGTTAAAAATATAAGATTAAAATATGTTAAAAAAATATAAAATGTCAATGAGCTCGCGTCCGTCGCGGTAACGATGATTACGTGAACTAACACAATTTTTATAATTGTCGAACTATATCGATTGCTTCACGTAAAATGTTAACGCCAGCAGAAATGTACGGTTGGACCGTACATGCTGCCGGACCAAAATGTAATAAGATGATTATAATGTTAGTTTGATGTGTTAGGTGATTTTATCTAAGTAACAAGGTGATAAACAATTTGTAACTTAACCTAATGAATGATTGTTATTTTGTTAAATGAAAATGATGACAGTATCTAATTTATGATATAACAATAAATTTTATAATTAAACATTAAAACATCTATGCGGTATAGGAGAACACGCTTTGTTTTGTTTTTCAATATCACACGATACATCACTATGGCCCATAGGTTGACGGTCAACATCACAATTTCGCGCACTAGCACTCACTGTGAAAACACTACGCTTACGGTTAGCCTTTCTTTGATTTCCCGCACTCACTGCACTGACACTACTCGCCGACTGCAGCTCCAAGTCCGGGGAGATGAGCGCACGCCGCCGCCGTCGCCGCCATCGCCATCGCCACACGAACACCGCCGCTACGACTGCTGCCACTCCGATTAACACGTAGTTGATTGCGTAGTGATGGATGTCGTGCGACGATAATGTGGTTAACTGCACGTTATTCTGTTTTAGGTCTTGTATTTGACGGTCTAAGTTATGTAAGGAGCTGTTCAAATCTGATATATTGGTGTCATTTTCGTTTAGAGGTTCTGAGGTTATGCTTATTTTGATGATGTTATTCAATGGGTCAATTTTTGGGAGAAATAAGTCCTTTTTCATCTCAATTTGATGGGTGTGAATTTGATGGGAGAACAACGTAAAATCTTGGCCTTTTAGCGAACATCCCTTATCGAGAGTTATAACTCCCGCTTTAGTAAGCCGTTCCCCAACTACACGATCAGGGCAAATAATTTTAACATCATAGGTGTTGCAGCAGTGGTATAGGTATTGTGAAGGGTTATTCAGCGGTAGCCATTCATTTGTACACGAAGTCTTATACATTTTGCATCTTCCTGTTGTTTGATCTAATTGACAAAATTTCTTGTCTTCTGAAAAATGGTAAATAGGCTGCCGAATAGGACACAAATAAACATCCTCCTCATGTAAACATAAATATAAGTCTTTGTTTGTTATTTTCAAATAAGTGTCCTTTCGTAAACTTATAGCTTAATATAAATGCTTATCTCTATATTATTTTCGACCTGATGAGGAATCGTTATAATTTTGTATAATTTGTATTTATCTCTATTCAGAAGGGGTAATATTACCTCGAATATAAGATATTTTTGCATCATTCTAGCTTTGACCTTAAGCAATTTATAAATTTTATGAAGTTCTTGTTGTATATTTTATACTGGTAATGTAATATCTTCTGTTAAATGACCAGAAATGATGTGGACTTCTTCTCGAAGTTGTTCGGCTGTTAATAAATGCATGTTAATATGACCATGGTATATGTCTGTTATGGTTTCAAGAAGATTCTCCTGGATCTTTTTTTATATTTTGAAGCATATTGCTGGCTATTAAAGAAGACAAAGCAAAATCTTGCGCAATTGAAATGTTTTTTATTTCCGCTTGCAAGTTGTTGGTCTGTTTGTCAAGGTTTATCAAATGTTTGTTAATAGTTTTATGTTGTTTGTCCACCAAATCTTCGGTACGCTTTAATAAATTATATTCTGATTCCAATACAGACGTCTGGTTCTTCCATAAATTTAATAAATGATTTTGGTTTTGTCTGTTCCTTACTATATTGTTCCGCGAAACGTACGTCCAATACGCCGAACAAACTTTGCTAAGTAGCCTATTCCATTCACAAGTCCCCGTCGCAGTCTAGAGCGTCCGACGAAATGCTGATTCAATAGCAGGTCATTGTAATACTGCAGTTCCGAGAACTCGTGCTGTAGTTGTAACAATATCATATGGCATAAGTGATCTGCGTTTATTTTCATACATCTTTCGTTTAAATGTTTTAAAAATATTTCAATTTCTAGGTTGTAATAGACAATTAGTGTCCATTTATCCTGGATTATCTGCATTTTACCCATTGGATCGAAGTAAATAGACTGGTTATTGTTAAAAGTTTTAATATTGTAAGAGCTTGTACTAAATGCAGGTGTAATTAAACATATAAAAAACATTAAACTCATAACGAGAGAACCAAATCTAGATGGTGTGCCTTGTAATTTATTTTCTTTCTTATGGGTTCTATTTTGTATGAAGTTACTCGACCTTTCTTTTTCTTCATTTTGTTGTGGTGATACGTCTACAGGTAATAATTACAATTTACTTATCGGTCTTTTAAGG